TGAAACTCAACCCAGCGATGGTCTGCCAAATTATCCCCTTGTGCCTCGGCTGGATCTGCAGGATCGGAGTGCAACTCCGACCGAAACTGAGCAACTTTGTCCGCCAAGAACTGGACGTACTCTTCAGCCCTACCCTGCAAGGGGTCCCCCGTATCCCTCCTATTTAGGAGGGGACGGGTTATCCTAAACAGGGCGGCAGGGCGTGACTCGGCGGAGGCAACCAAGGTGGCAATGTAAGATCTTTTTGCCGTCCTAATTGCCCTGATATAATCCTTGGTGCACGATGTTAAAAGTGCTCGGCTCGATTCGGATTTGTTGGATCTCCACAGGTGCTCTAGGCGTCTCCTCTGGCGCTTCCTCTCCCGGAGTTCCTCGGTAAACCAAGGGGGCCTCCTGTACTGTGACATTCTCAACTGATGGTCATCCAACCTCTGTTCAAAGAACAGAGGCAGCAGCAAACAGAGGCAGCAGCAAAGAAGAGTTCACCACTTTTTAAGGCAGTTTCTTCCATTATTGAACAACTTTTATAGTTATGAAATGTCCTGCTGTGTTTCTTAATTCTATTTTCTGAAAGACCTTTGAAGACTTCTGCATAGTTTTCTGTCTGACTGAACATAACCAGTACCTCCAACTTTTCTTGCAGTCTTTTGGACACACTCCTGCCAGAACTGAAGGCAATATTCTGAATGATTTGACTAGTGCAGAATAGAAAGGAATAATAATTTTTCTTGATCTCAACACTGTCATAGAATTTATGTAGGCTGGGATTGTATTGACTTTTCCCCCCAGCTACATCATACTGTGGCTAAGTAGCTTCTAATCCACCAAGACACATAACATTAGATTTTTCTTTCCCTGCACTATTTCACTTCAATGAACCACTCTAGATTAAGTCAGATCAGTAATAATCTATTATGACTTTCAGTCAACAGCAAGACAAAGATCTCTTAGAATGGAAACAAGTGAGACCAGGAAAGTAATAGCAGAAATATATTACTGAATAAACTGAGAAAGGAATTCAGGAAAACAAAGATATTTGGTTTCATTTCTGGGTGA